TAAATACTAAATCCAAAGTACAATTTAACTACTAAATTTAAAATATCATTTAACTCAATTTCAGGCTATTTGAAATTCTAATACGTAACAGCAGTCACATGACAGATCAAAGTCACATGTGGAATGAGTGAAAACACTTTTAATAATGATTTTTAGAGCGTGGGAATCAGTGTCAGTTAAAAGCAAGTGTATTTCGATGATCACCAATCTGTAACTGCTGCTGCTCTGTACTTTATATCATAATTGTTCTTTTATCTTTACTAACCATTATAAAGAGTAAGTTACTTACAATTCTATAAAGTTCAAGAAAATTTGTATCGGTGTGAAAATGTAATCAGTTCACTGTTGAGTAGAGTTCATTTCATGAAGCTGTGGCTGTCCAGTTGATTTAGGACACTGCCACAATTGGTGAACGGAACACCTTCATACCAGATTTCACAGTCAAAAAATAATAATGTTTTAAAATATATTTTAACAATTTTTAACTTTAAAATATTTTCAAATTGATATATATATTTTTTAATTTTATAACAATTATTTAGTGTAATTGGCAGCTACAAGAAGTCTTGCGTATAGACAAAGCTTTTATCGATCTTGTTGAGGTATATATATATCTGCGTCTTGATTTTCATATGATATTTTTTCTCTGTTAGTGGTTTTATTACTATAGCCCTTGGTTGCCACCTTTTTATGATGTCACAGTACACAGACTGGACAATTACTTCTATGTTCACACTTGAAAATACATATAGCCAGCTTTTAAATACGATTGTATAGAATAGTTCATAAACCATGTAGACAATGCAGAGTAAATGAAATGGTTTGAGCAATAGTCAGTGATTTCTTGAAATACTGAATACCCAGAGCTCCTGTAGAAATGAACAAAGGGATCTAATGAAAAGTTTAGAAGACTTAGGATTTTTAATATCGGGATTTTTAATATCTCCAATACACTTCGTTTCTAATATATTCTCGTGTAAAATTATTTTCGTTTTAAAGATACAGATATTTTCTTCTATGACAAGTCATCGGATAAGTTTTGGTTAGGTTTAATAAGTACGGTAGGTGGCAGCAAAATATTACAATGACTCAAATCCTTATTTATTGAATACTTGCTGGAGTACCCGTCCCCTTAGGACATGAAACGTTGCTTCCCTTATATGTAATTGCAAAAAAACGCAAAAACGCCCATAAAATCTGCAAAACAAAATTTGAAACTGCAATTCTGCATGTATCTCCGCATGGATCCAATAAACCTTCATGCCAAATTTGGTGAAGATCCAGCAACAGGGGGCGAAGTAGTGGTAAAAAATGCAAAAACACCCATAAAAACTGCAAAATGCAAAACCGAAAATGTGTATATACTTCTCCATGGACCAAAGAACCTCCATACCAAACTTGGTGAAGATCCATCCAGAGAAGGTGAGGTAATGGTAAAAAAACAACAACACAAAATAAAAACCGCAAAATGCAAAATAAAAATTTGCATGTGTCTCCCCATGGACCCAATTAACCTCCATACCATATTTGGTGAAGATACATCAACAGGGAACGAAGTAGTGGTAAAAATACAAAAACGCTCATAAAAACCGCAAAACGTAAAATGCAAAACTCAAAATTTGTATGCAGCCCCGCATGGACATAATGATCCTTCATACCAACTTTGATGGCGATCTATATACATCCTATGAAGTAGTTACATGGACAGACAACAGACAATACTATTATATAGATTATTAAGTTTATTGTATTTAAACAACGCACACAAATGAAACAACTTGTCATTTATTTAAAAGAAACTTTTATTAGATATAGGTAGATCTCGACAAAGAATTTTGTTAGCATAAATCATGATGTCTAGCCTGACAGAAGTAACATTGACGTTATTTTAAAAGGTAAGGTTCTAAGTCACCAACAAATATTTACCAGTTTTTTTATGTTTCTGTGACTTATACTCGAAAAGGGAAACTATTGCAATCGGCGAAATAAAGTACAAAAATATTTTAATAAATATCAAACAACTTGAAATTGATGGGATATGAAACATGGAACTTTCTTATAAAAAATACTATGTTGAAGGTCTGAGACAAAAGGAAGTAACAACAAAAATATTTAGAAATATTAAATCAATTTACAATAATGTTTGAAGGCGAAACTAGACTCTATTTAATATTTGTGAAATTTGTACTGTGTTTCATGCAATTTTCACTATGAGAAAGGAAATGCATTCAGGAGATGTCGGTGATACCCCTTCAGTCCAAAAAAAATTTAATGGACTTCTCATATTAATTTTGTAGTGTTGGTATGTAGTCTGACAAACGAATGGGCAGGCGACATAGCTCTGCACAACGTTAGCGTTGGTAGGAAAAAAATAAATATAACTACAAAGAGCATACATGTAGACCAACGTACTTTATGAAGATGACTTTATCAACATGAAATGTTATTCAATCGAAAATAATTGTTTTCATGCAAGTGATTATGCTTCTAGGACCCACACTCGTGTGTGTAAAGCTTGATATTTAAAATGTTATTTCATTAAGCATCAACGAGAACCAGAAGACCATTAAAGCTCCTTAAAATTTATTGAAGCAAATAAAAAAATGCTTTTAACATGTACGAAAATACAGAGGCTTAGTTTTTTATAATTATATTCAAATCGCGTCTTTTTACAATTAATGGCTGCAGAATATATTCCAACGTTTTATTTCTTAGTTTTATACTACACCAATTAGGATGACGAAATAAAAAGTAACTGCTGAACCACTACTAAAATATTTACTGAAAAAAAATCAACAACTTTGAAATTATTCGTGTGAAAACATATTTCTGTTTTTGTTCATTCCTTAATAATAGGTTATATTTTATTTTGAAGAAGCCTCACAATTACAAAGGTTTTAATCACGAAAAGCAAATGGCAGAAAAGATCTTGTGTGGATCATGCATATTTTCTTCGCCAATTATTTTATTTTGTTCGTGGACTTATTTAACTGGAAGCCGAAGATTACACATGAATCGCTACTATGTGTTTTCTCTACAAAATATAAAAACAAACTAACGTATGACATGAAACTAACAATCTTAACCTTCGGCCTACATTAAGATAATCTATGGAGAGACGATGTTTTGTCATAAAATAAAAGAATAATTATCAAAACACTGATTAATTTAGGTAGCATGTTTAAGGTCCTTAGAACGACAATATGTTGAAAGTAATGAAATGGAAAAAAGCACACAAAGCCAAACTATTATTGAAGAACACTTTATTGTAGAATAATCCTATGTAAAATTCGATTTGCAAGAAGTTAGATATTTTTTCCAATGTTTGTTTTCAAGTTACTTTCGTAAACACATTAATTTTAAATTTGTCGTACACCTAGCGCTCCGAATTTTGACTTGATAATCTATGCAGGGGCGCTTGTGCATTTTTTCCACCTTTTCCAACGATCTTGTTAAGATAATTATTATTCCTCCGTGTTACTAAGAAGTATATATTATAATTTTAAGAATTCAAGATCTTCTAGTATAAATAAAGATGCACCATGAAACCTAACGCGCTGGCTAGGTATTTTAATTTGCGTAAGTGCTTCTAAATAGTGGATAACAGCAGCATCAACATGCCAGGTGACCGCCCAATGAACTCACGTGTCTATTAACGTAGAAAAATTGCTTCTGAAACTTTTATTCAATTAAGAATTCGAATGCACGATCTATTTAGATATCACAGAGGATAAGAACACGAAAATAATATGTCGAAATATAAGCACGCAAACACTCTGCATTATTTTCTTTGCAAGTACAGAGTGTATAAGTTAAAAAAAGAAAGATCAGGTCTATGTGAAAAAGAGGCTTCTTTATTTTTAAATAAAATCGTGCGTGTTGTGAGACAATGAATATATGTATAATGCTGTTTTCAAATATTCATTTCAACTTATTTTTGCTGTAAAAAGTACACTGAGTGGCCACAAGTAAATAGACACCTAATTTGTGTTCACAGTGCACTATATAAAT